GCATCCTTACTACAATTTGACAACAAGAGGGTTAATTTGTGTGCTTAACTATTTTCGCATCAGTGCACTGGTCACCACCTTCATCCTTTGGCCCTGCAAGCTCCACAAACCCTGGAGCAAGGGAAGAACACTCAAACCACCTCATATCAAGTGCACCGTAGCGTTGCCACTGTACACTCCTCTCTTCTAGCAATTTCTCCATGTTCTCGGCGAGGGTAAGCATTGAGAAATCCTTAAACCTTTTTAGATCATGTTTTGGAATACGTTACAGTATTTTAGAGAGTTGATATGGTCGATGTGGGATGTTACAATCCACCCCCTTAGGGGCCTGACATCCTCGTCGGCACACTCGCACCATGCGGCAAAGTGGCTTTGAATGGTGCAACATTTCACCCCTTTGAGGGGCCCGACGTTCTCGTCGGCATACTCGCACCACCACACAACAGAGTGGCTTTGAATGGTGTAACATCCCACATCGACCAACGTAGAGGGGGTGATGTGCCTTATATGTACATGCCCACCTCCATATAGCACGAGGCTTTTTGGGAACTCACTGGCTTTGGATTCCATCGGAACTCCGAAGTGAAGCAAGTTCGGGCGAAAGCATTACTTGGATGGGTGACCCACTGGGAAGTTCTCGTGTGAGTTCCCAGAAACAAAACTGTGAGGGCGTGGCCCAAAGTGAACAATATCGTGCTACGACGAAACCGGTCTAGAATGTGACATAATAACAATTCCCTTTTACTATTATATATATATATGTGTATATATTGTAGATCACATATGTTTGTTAACATGTATAAGCATGTTTAATATTTCATGTTTTTATTATGCAATAAATGTTATATTTTGATGAAAAAACTATGTGATTCAAAGAAAAACAAGAAAATTGAAGCAAGAACTGGGGCTGTGTAAAGAGTGCATTTTTGCTCATCACCATTTAGTGTAGTGTATGTTCACCATCCTATTTATCATCGTTAGATAAGTTTGAATTTTGAGATTTGTGTCTATTCACTACACGAATCTTGAAATTCAAACTCATCTTGAAATTCAAACTCATCTAACGGTGATAAATAGGGTGATGAGCAAAAATGCTCCCATTTTGTAAACCCTTAAAAAATGACATGAAGCCGCTGCTTGCAACCGCGCTCGCACTGGATCGAGCCACCAAGCCGCTCACACTGAACTGCCAGCAACCAGGAACGACCCCCGTCTCTCTCACCAAAAATCGAGAACCACACCAACGGATGTGGAATCTCTGCAAATCTGTAGATTCAGACGACTAGGCCATCTCTGATGAATGTTATCATTGTCTCAACTATGATTGAAGTCGTGGTCTTCCGCTTGCAATTATCGTTGCCATAATTGCAATGTTTCTCGACGACACACCGAGAAATCCTGTTGATTTCTCTTCGGATTTGAGTACCCAAATCGAACCCCTCGATGGAATTCGAGGATGATTGACGGCACGCAATCACCATGGCAGACCTTAAGCACCACGCTCGATTGCACCGAAGAACACCATGACGATGTTGATTTTCCAGCACCCATACTTCGTTTTGGATTCGTTTTTGGCCCATTTTTGAGCCATGATTTTCTTGTTCGGAAACAGAGAAAGAAACCGTTTAGGGCCAAATTGCTTAACGAAAAACAATCTCACCCCAAAAGAAAAACAACATATAAACAAACAATGGGCAAAAAACAATCACACCCCTCAATAGACAACATATAAATCATTTTACATGATTCATCTGATTCTAAGAAAAACCAAAAAGACGGAGTCTTGCTGCATGGGAGATGCCAAAAACAATGGGCAAAGGGTTAAATTGCTAATTGATTTGTTTAGATATAATGTCGAGTAATTCTAAATATGGTAAAAATTTTAAATAATGAAATTATAGGCATATTCTACATAATTAATGTTCAGGAGTTATTAATATCTAGTGGCCAAAAGGGTCAAATTATAAGCATACTGTACGTAACTAATAATTCAAATGAAATATTATTTAGGGTAAATGACAAAAAAACTACTTCAACTATTGATTTCACGACACTATCATACCTCATCTTTTAAAATTGACAATGTCATACCTCATCTTTAGAATTTGGTCTAATGTTATACCTTCCGTTAGCTTGGTTGTGAATTTCACAGTTAAATGCTGACAAGGCTTGATCCGAGACCCACTTTCTATTAAAAATTAATAAAATATTAAAAAAATATTAATTTACCCTAAAAAATATAAAAAAATTAAATTAAATTAAATTTAAAAAAAAAAAAAAAAAAAACCCAAACACCTATCTTCCCTGACCCCTTCCTCTTCCCTGCAACCCAAATCCCTTCCCCTGCAACCCCCAACCCCCTGCCCACCCATGCCAACATCATTCATCAATTAAATCATTGCAAAATTGGAAATCAACGAGGTCGATAACACGCATAACCGAGGAGGCAATCGATCTTTGGCATTCCAGTAGACCTTGACCGCCTTTTTGAGCTCTTTCAATGCCTTCCAATTCCTGCTTGCTCTATTGTACCTCTCGAAAACAAGAACAAGAAGAGGACTTGGGTGAAAAGCAAAACTCTCCCATTCCAAGTAGTTGATCTCCTTCACCCAATTGTCTTCAACCTCGCCTTCCCAATCAATCTCAACCCCATTGTCGCCCACCACGTTTCAAATTGGGTGGTTCTCGAAGTACAGTGAAGCCTGAATCCCCCACCCCACATCAGCATCCAACGGCCAATCCTTGCTCCCTTCCTCAACCACCATGCTCTTCTCCCCTCCAAAACCCTCATCTTCCTCCTCCTCCTCACCATCGTCCACTCTCCTCTTCATTACTTCATCTTTCTTCTCAACAATCTCTAGGTTCTGCTTTCTGATCAACGGAAACGTCCGATCAAGTTACTCCCGCACGTAATCTTCAACCGCCGCCGCTTCGCTCCTACACCCGCGCTACGACTTTCTCGGAATCATCATTGGAAACGTTTTGCCTAGCTCCTCACCTTCGTATTCAGAAGTTTTCATTTTATGGCTGCAATATTTTGGTTTCAGATTGGAATGAGCTTTGAGGTCGGTGAGGTTGCACGGAAGGGCAGGGAGAGGTGGGTTTGGGGGGGGGGGGGGGGGGGAGGGAGGGGGAGATGTTGGCATGGGTGGGAAAGGGGGTTGGGGGTTGTAGGGAAGGGGAAGGGGAAAGGATCTGGGTTTTGGATTTGGGAAAGGGGTAAGGGAAGATCAGTGTTTGGGTTTTTTTTTTTTTTTTTTTTTGGAGGGTAAATTATTATTTTTTAATATTTTATTAATTTTGTTTAATAGAAAGTGGGCCTCAGTTCAAGCCACATCAGCATTTAACTGAGAAATTCACGACCAAATTAAAGGAAGGTATAACATTTGACCAAATTCTAAAGATGAGGTATGACATTGTCAATTTTAAAAGATGAGGTATGATAGTGTTATGAGACCAATAGTTGAGGTAATTTTGTGTAATTTACCTTATTATTTAACTTGATGAAAAACATAGGAAGTGCACAAGGGTTAGTTGACCACTGTGAACCTATATTGGCTCCGCCCATGGTGCAAAACCCACCTCTTGTCGATGTGGTTTTTCAGTTTACTAAACCCCTCTTTTACTCCCCTGTTTTAATCCTATCTTACCTTCACTACTTTTTAAAGCTATCCAAACAAGATGGTTAAAAATGGGGATTTCCAAAACTTTTTTTTTTTTTTCTTTTTTCAATCCAAACCTCTTTTTAATCTTTTACCCAAACAAGCCCTTAATATTCATTAGTGTAGAATATCGTTTGTGCTAAAAGAAATTTCTATCATACTTCATGGAAACAAAGTTTATATAGGTTTCATATTCTTCTACACAAAAAGGACGTATGCGTGCACCCTCCACATGCATATATTATTCCCTGGACAGATTTATCTTTCTCCACATGAGGCACGAAGCTCTCTTGCCAACAAGAACAACTAATATAGAACTGATTCACATCCACAATGTTCAGATCCAATAATATATTGTCATATGAAAAAAAAAAAAAACCTTAAACATGTTAATATATTATTGAACAAAGATCCGGATTGATTAATTAGGCGGATTTAGTGAAAATGATCTGGAAATGATCTCTTTCCCTCCACAACCTTCATTGACATCTAAAGGTGATTTGATGTATAAAAGCTAAGAATGTGTATAGAGCAGGGATTCCTCACTTCGTTACTCTAGTTAAATATTTTACTTTAAACTATTAAATTATATTAAATTACGGATCACCAATTGAAATCATAATCAAAAAGTAGAAAACAACTGAATTGAATCATAAATAATCATCTAAAATAAAATCGTCCTCTTTCATGTGTAATTATTAATTCGTTCTGCTGAAAAAAAATTGCAATTATCATAATTAGTTGTAAATAAAGGAAAGAAAAATAAAAAAAGAAAAAAAACAAGGAGAAAAGCCAGCTTTGAATTGAAAACAAAAAAAAGTAACTGGAGGAGTTGGGAGTTGGAGAATTATGACTTGTACTTTCCATAACACAACCAGATGTTGTTACTTAAGTTACACCCCTTTCCCCTTTTAATGTCAGACAAACTTTATATCCAATTATAAGATTTTATCCTTTCGGAAAATTACCCCTCATTCATTTGTTAAACAATTATTTTCAGCCCAAAAACAACTCAACTTCTTATGAGCATTTTTACTCATCATCGTAAATTATTCATGTTTTTCAACGAGAGACCTACGAATTATCAAAGTCTTATTTTTAGCCAATTTTCACATGCCTATCCCTATTTTATCGTAGATTCACCTGTACTGGATAACGGAGTCATTTTCTAGAAAGATAGAAAGACAGATAGACCGACTGTGATTGAGAAAAAGATTAGATTTTCACAGACCCTAACCCTAATTACTTAAAGGGTTCATTTATTTTTGTCTTGTCCCTCTCTCTTTCTGTCTCTGTGTGTGTGTGTCTCTCTCTCTATCTTCCGAAAAACTTTAATTAATGTCTCCAAATTCACCAGACAGAAAATCCGGAAGCCCAAAAAGATCACCACCGCCAGTTCTGCCCAAGCGGCCGCGCCCACTGAGCCTCCCGGACCAAGCTCTCAAGCATGTTATCATGAAGATGCAGCTCCAGAACCACTTGAACTCCCTCTCTCCCTCCACCGCCTCGCCGTCTCCCCACTCCGAGCCCGACCTCTCCTCCGCCTTCAATTCCCTTACCCTTGACCCGCCTGCACCCGATTCCACCTCCCTCCTGTCCGACAAGCTCCTCCTCCGCATCTTCTCCAAGCTCCCCATTTCCCACTACCTCCCCAACTCCCTCGTCTGCAAGCGGTGGCTGTACCTCCACGGCCGGCTGGTGAATTCCGTGAAGCTTTTCGATTGGGGGTTTTTGGACTCGGGTCGGGTTTTCGCCCGGTTCCCGAATCTGGACGATGTCGATATTGTTCATGCCTGCATTCGGTCCCCTAGGAATTCGGGGATTCTGGTGACCAGGAAGGCTTTGACTGTTCATATCGACTCGCTTTTTAGCCCCAATGGATTCATTGAGGAGAGCGATGTGTTGAAGAACAGTGTTGTGGACCATGGGCTGAGATTGATCGCTCAATCGTACCCGAATTTGCGGCGAATTGCGGTTATCGGCGCCAGTGAAAATGGGTTGGTGAGGATTGCTGAGGAGTGTCAGATATTGCAGGAATTGGAGCTGCATTGTTGTGGGGACTTGGCGTTGAAGGGAATTAGTGGGTGTAGGAACTTGCAGATTGTGAAACTGATTGGTTCTGTTGATGGGTTTTACAGGGCTGTGATTTCGGATATCGGGTTGACGATTTTAGCTCAGGGGTGTAGGAGGTTAGTGAAGCTTGAGCTCTGTGGGTGTGAAGGGAGCTATGATGGGATTAAGGCAATCGGGCAGTGCTGCCAAATGCTTGAGGAATTGACTCTCAGTGATCATAGGATGGATGGTGGCTGGTTGGCTGCTCTGCCCTTTTGTGGGAATTTGAAGACTTTGATGCTTCAGTCTTGCAAGAGCATTGACTCAAGCCCTGGCCCCGATGAGCATTTGGGGTCTTGTCCCACCATCGAGGAGTTGCTTTTGCGGCGGTGTCAGGTGCGGGATCAGCATGCTGTGAGATCTTTGTTCATGGTGTGTGAGGCTGTTAGGGATATTGTTTTGCAGGATTGTTGGGGATTGGTGGATGAAGTATTCGCATTCGCTAGCATTTGTAGGTACGAGATTTTTTTTCTTCCCATTTGTGTTTAGCTCTATTTGTTTCCTGAGATATGTTGAAGAAACTTAAGATTAGATTTTGTGTTATTTCTGACTTTACATTGTTGTGCAAATCGGTTATTTAGAAAAGAAAAATACTTTTACGTACTATAAATGCTATCTCCATGGAAGATTATTAGAGGAGTATGCCATAGGAGATGGTTGTATTGTTTGTCCATATATTATCTATTTTGTACTAAATGGAAGATGTATAGTCGTAAAGTATGCAAATAGTTAAACATGGCTTATTGCTTTTAGATCTGTGGTTCTTCTGTAGCGAGCGTACCTGACTAATTAATCTTTCAGCAGCAAAACCTTTTTTAGGCATTGCGTTAATGGAAATACCAAATCATAAGATGTGTCGTGTTAGAATTTCTGTCATTTAGGAAAGAGATTTCGGAATAGTTGGAGAGTTGTCACGATGAGACTCCACTGATGGTGATAGGGTAGGGCAGTTTTCTTCTTCAAAAACTTTTGAAAGACACGCAGTCCCTAACTAATGTCATGTATTTATTGTAAGCACTCCCATGGAAAGATCAGAAATAAACTTTGAGAATGCTCTGCCACTAAGGCTAGAACTGCCTTGGAATGGCCCATCTAAATTCTTTGGGAGTCCCACCTTTGTCTTGTTTACTAAATTGCACGATTTGCGTAATTCATCAAAGCTTTATTAAACAATAATTAAGCAAATCAAAGTTTATACCATATTTGTTTGGCCACCAACTCCTATGGTGTTTGATCTAGGAACTTGAGCCTCATAAAAATCCAAATATTTGAATGTCTCAAATAGCTTCAATAATTCCGTTATGAGACTTGTTTTCATGATGTGGATTGATACCTTTATAATTACCTTCATATAATCTTAGTCGGATGTTGTGCAAGGGTTTGATGAGTTGTTCTCAATTGTCAACTCTAAAGTTTTAAAGTTTAGTGGATTGTTACCCAATTAAGTCTAAAGTTTCAAATTTTAAATAACATTTGCCTAGTTTTTGTATGGGGACCTTAGAAATGGGCGGTTCAGATCTTCTTATCACAATGAGGGTAAGGCGTGCACACTATGATCCCTCTTAATAGGTTTTCTACGCATTATGATTTCCATAAAGTGACATAGGATACTTTGGACAAAACAAAAAAATGAACTCAAATAAGTTTCAGCAAGTTGGAACTTGAATACAGACACAATGAGGCTGTGGTGTCCACTATTCGTGGAAGTGCATTTTCCAATTGGTCAGATATGCATTCTGTGGAAAATTGAGAGGTTCCTCCAAATTATTGGAACACCATTTTTTTTTAATTTATGGTGCATGAGGAGGAAAGTTCTTGAGTTCAGATGGCATAAAACTGCATTTATATCCAAGAATAATTGGTAAAAGGTGATGTTCCAGAGGTTTTCACCATTTGGTATTGTCAGAAAAAGGAAAATATTTAGAGTCACTTGAAGATTGTCTGTGGATTCATTTTGCTAGCAAGAATAAGGCGGTAACAATTTGGAAAAGTCAGTTTTGATATATGCCCATTAAAAAAACATTTCCTCTCAAGCGCTGTTGAACTTGTAGTTTTTGGGATGGTTAGAAAAAGTAGTTGTCTTGGTATATTGCGTTCTTACATGTCTTCATGAACAATATGACTTTACTGCAGAGTATTGATATGAACTGAAATCTGTTGGCTGCATGCAGAGATCAGTTTGTATTTTTTTTTATTCTATGAATTTTGTGCTTTTTACCTTCATCTTTTGCCTTTTGAAGATTTATTTTGCCATAAATATTTTGATTGAACTTCTCCCCATTTGTATGTACGAGTAGCCATCATTGTTATCTTTATAATCTAGCTTGAGATCGATGTTAAGCAAGACCTATTAATTAATGTCAAGTTTGATGGTTGTTAATCTTTTTACCCTTTCCATCATGCAGGAGGGTGAAGCTGGTTGCTCTAGAAGGATGCTCACTGCTGACAACAGGAGGTCTGGAGTCGGTACTCCTTTGCTGGAAAGAGCTTCAAAGGCTTCGAGTAGTATCATGTAACAATGTAACGGACAGTGAAATTACTCCTGCCTTAGCAACCTTATTTTCTGTTCTTAAAGAGTTGACATGGCGACCGAATTCCAAAGCTCTCTTATCAGCAAGTCTTGCAGAGGCTGGAGTGGGAATGAAAGGTGGTAGGTTTTTCAAGAGATTAAAGCCTTGACTCCACTGCTTGACCTGTTCAGTGAGCATCCTCATATTGGGCAGCTGTTCAGTGTTTGGATCAACACAGAAAATAGATAGATTGAAATGTTATTTAGATGTTCAGCATTGTGATGATCGAGGGGTCATTTGCTTCCTTGCCCACAGAAACCATACCGAGTGCAGGTCAGTGTCAAGTTGTCGGTGTTATTTAAGACTAGTCCTGTTTCTCTGATATTCAGCAAGGTTAGACGTGCTAGTTTGGTCATTTTAAATAGCTGTACTGACTTGCTAGGAGTTAAGAGTAAGCAAACACATGGGTAGAGTTTATCAACTCTTTCGACATCGTCGATATGTAACAATGTAACATTTACTAGGAATGAACTTCTTTTACCTCAAAGTGTAGTGGCATTATGCGTGTTCATTGTGTTCTCATGCAACTGTTATGGGATTATTTTTCGTCATCTTGGTGTTAATGACTCATCTCATTTTGGCGTTCAAGTTTCTTCTACGTTGTCAGTAACGTGGTCGATATATTTCGATAAAGTTTGAGAGTATACAAGATTAGTTGATCATGTACCTTTATTATCAAGGAAAGTTCATGAATCGCAACAGTACCTGTAATTTGTTGTCGATGCATATTTTCATGGAAATTTTTTAACTTGAATCAGGGAAACCTTACCCTTAGCTTTGAACTTAGAACCTTGAACTTTTGAATGGAAAATTTTCTCGTACTAAGTGATGACCGGGAGATTATTGCTTTGAACTAACAGAGCTATAAGACCGTTGTGGAATGGCAATTAATCTCGTAATACGTGGATTAGAATGATGACCTAGAGACCACGAAAAGTAAAAAGGTTTGTTTGGCAAGTGTTTTTAAATGACTAAAAGTGATTTTTAGAGAAAATGTTTTTGGATTTCAAAAGCACTTGAAGGGTTTTCTGCTAAAAGAACCAGTTATTTGCTTCTTACTTGAAAATAGTATGCGTATAATGTTTGGTTTAATTACCTTTTAATCTTCTTTTCCCTTTCTCTCATTTTGGCACTTCCAATTTAGAGCAAATTATACAAAATTATCTCAATTATGAGTCGAATCACAATCTCATACTTCATGTTTTAAAAATTATAATGTCATACCTCATTTTACGAATTTATTTCAATGTCAGACATTTTTTTGTCAATTTCCTTGTTAAATGCTAACTTAGCTTGAGACGGGATCCACTCCCAAACCCAACTAGATTAGAAAAATAATTAAATACTAGCCTCTCTGCACGCACTAACGTGCGTGCGAGAGGCATTTTTGCATCACGGGCGCTACGCGCCCCTAAATGTGTATTATGTTAGTTTTGTTCCATTATGGTTTTCAATGTATATGCTTTAGAAAGTATGATACCAAGTTTGGAGGTGAGGTATGAAATCTAGAAGATGACTGCTCCTAATTGGAAGCAATAAATTGAAGTTGTTGACGTGGATACTATCTCACACGCAGCAATGCCTATTACGGTGTTCTCAAGCACGTGCGAAAGACACTTTTTAAATCACGGCACGCTACACGCAACTTACACATTTTAAATGTATTTATATGCGAGGATTGGTTCAAAGTATAGAAACATAAAATAAAGGCGATTATCATCTCTAATAATACAGGCGGAATCTAAAGTATTTTGTCTAGAATATGTAAAAAAAAAAAAAAAGTAATAAATAACAGAAAAGATCCTTATAATTTAGTTGCAACTAAAAGTTAAATAAAAAGTATAAAAACAATCCGAGAAATTTAATTGACCTTGATGCACATGACACCAAAATATATTATGAACTCATATTATTCCGTCCTGTTGAAAATTTAATGCGTTTGGTTAAAATCAAATATTAGCATTATTTGTAATTGAAGTGCATTAAAAGTTGAAAAAGGGAATTAAACATTAAAAGAAAGAATGTAACCTTATGTTGAATTCGAGGGAAGCAAAATATCTTTGTACACAACATTTCTTGTGAAGACTCCTTCGTTACCGTGTAACTCTCCTTTCTTTACCAAGACTTTTATTGTAGACGCTGAAACTCCTCTTGATAAAGTCACGTACAATTGTCCATGACTGAATACGTGATCTGGTAGATAAATACCCACATTTGGTATTGTCTGCCCTTGTGATTTATTTATAGTTAGTGCAAAACTCAATTTCACTGGAAACTGTTTTCTCATCATTTCGAATGGGAGTCCTGCACTTTCTGTGGTCTTTAAAGAGATTCTTGGTAAAAACACTCTAGTTCCAGCAAATTGTCCAGATAAGATTTCGGCATCAATTAGATTATTGTAAGCTCCATGGCAAGCCAGTCTTGTACCATTGCACAACCCCATCTTCGGATCGATATTTCTCAAAAGCATTATCGGGGCACCTTTTTTCAAAGTTAACTGATGAGGGGGCATTCCACCAGGTGAGATTGAATTCAAGAATTCTTGTTGATACAAATTTCTCACATCGTCCTCAACTGAATCGAAAGAGTATAAGATATGTTCAATCCCCGGAAATTTATCGATGATCATTTTATTGATTTTGTCAGCATCCTCATTTTTTGGTGTTATAATTGCTCTTTCCACCAAGTATCTTGCATCACATACATGACATTCCAAATCGGGGAAAACTTCACTAACCAATTGGACAATGGATTCTTCACCATTCCATGGAATAACCATAGATGATGGTAATTGCATCATGTCGTCTATCATAGTTTCTTGTTCCCCATTACCAACATGAAGTAAGAACTCTGAAAAGTCTTGATCATTGATGGATCTCATGTTATGCCTAAGACGAATGATTTTCACGTGTTCCCAAAATGAAGCATTAATCATACTTGCTTGCATCAATTCAGATCTTGTACCTTTTGGAACAACTGGAAGAACTTGTCGAAAATCTCCTCCAAAGATTATGACCTTTCCTCCATATGGTAGGTCAACACGCATTATATCTTTGAACGTTCGATCGAGAGCCTCAAATGCAAACCTGTGTGCCATTGGTGCTTCATCCCAAACAACAGCTGATGTTTTTCTTATCAATTCTGCCAAATCTGACTGGATACTAATAGAACATGTGGAAGATGCATCTGGACTGAGGGGAATTTTAAATCTAGAGTGTGCTGTCCTTCCACCTGGCAATATGGTTGTTGCAATTCCAGATGTTGCTGTTGCCAATATAATATGACCCTTACTCCTTAAGGTTGCTAACAAAGCACGATATAAGTATGTCTTTCCTGTCCCTCCGGGACCATCCACAAAAAATATGGCATTGTCTCGTTGTTCAATAGCAGACACAATCGAGTTATACGCTGCCATTTGGTCTTCATTTAGATTTTGTACCGCATTGAGGTCTGCTTCAGAGATGTCAAGTGAAACTTCATCTTGTATTTGATGCGAGAATTATATGCACACAAATTAAACCCTCTTTTTGTCAATTGTAGTATAAGTATAAGTAGGGATCGTTCTGGACTGGGGATTAGGAGGGATTGCTAAAACCTTGGAAACTGACTAAAAAAACGTAAAAACAAGATAAAACACTAAACTAGACTCAAAGAATGTGAAACTAAACGTTAAAACACTAAGACAAACCAAAAGACTCAAAATGCTTTAAAAACACAAACTAAATTGATTTCTAACTAAATTGAACAATAAAGTAAAGGGGGATTGGATTTGGACGACTTTAAACTAAAAATGAAAACTTGGAAATAAAACAAATTGTAAATATGGATTTGACGGAAATGAATGGATGGGAAGCTAGCTAAGGGGTTCATCTCCACATATGTTATACTTGCATACAAAACGATGTCTAATTGCTTTTCAATAAACCATGAATTCTCAACGCCCCGGGTTAATTAGGTCCGCTTAAATTAACCGTCAAGTTTTCCTTAAGTTAATGAATTGGATGATTGCATACGACAATCCAAAGCATTCCTCACAAGTTCCCTACATGAATTGCATAATAGAGATACAAGCAAGAATCATTAAGCATCATGAAAACTATAAGTGTTGACGAGGCATTCGTTACTATGATTGCATGAAACTTATGCCAAGAATATGTTTAACACGATTGTTTATAAGCAACCTCCACTACTTGTGAATATAAGTTCATAACTATTACGTGAAACTCACTTATATTCTAGCGTCAAATTCATGCATGAAAATTAAGCGTTCATTCTTAATAAACATACATAAATAGGTTATCAATCAAACAGTTAAACAAATTGAATTCACAACTTATGAAACGTAATTAAAAGTAATCAAATCATATTACAAACATAAACATAGTTTCGAATCACCCCCTAGCTAAAGGGGGTTTATTTCCTCATACGTACAAAACAAAGAGAATTGAAATTAAACATTGAAATCAAAGAAACGCCTAAACATTCCAACAACTCAATCTTGAATTGTATGAACGTTTAGGCCCTCTTATCTTCCTCTTTATTGTAGCATAAGGTCTAGGGATAGTTGGTTGGGGGGATGGAAGTGTTGGGAAATTATGGAAATGGATGAGGAGTGGTGGAAATGGAAGATGGTTTTTGGATTCTAAGGGAGACTCACGGCTAAGGAAGGTGGATGTGTTTGTGGTGTTGTGTTGTGTTGTGAATGAGATGAGATTTGAATGAATGAATGCAAGGGTATTTATAGGAGGAGTGGAGATGTATATGGCTATTTGTTTAAGGTGTTTGTGGTTGCAATGATGAAGAATTGCATGTGGAAATAAAAGGGAAAATGTGGTGAAATGATGAAGTAGGAAGGTGGAAATGCATGTGAGATGTTGGAAAGGAAATGGGAATATGAGTAGGCCATGGCATGGGAGTTGTTTTGTTGGTGTAAATGTGCCATGGTTGCAATGATGAAGAATAAAGGGTGCATGTGGGGTGGAATTGAATGAATGCAAAGTGAATGAATAATGAAATGAGTTAAAGAGGGAGAATGTGGTGAAATGATGAAGTAGGAAGGTGGAAATGCATGTGACTTGTTTGTGGAATAAAGAATGAATGGTGGAATGATGAAGAGTTGCATAAAGAATGCATGTAGGGTTAGCTAGGTTGGCTTTGTTTGGGTGCATGTGTGTTAATGGTGGTTTTGCATGTGAATTGATGGATTGTTTTTGATGGAATGGATGGTTCTTTGCATGGCTTTTTGAAGTGATTGTGGGCTTTGGAATTGGAAGGAAATGCATGGCCTTGGGGTTGGTTTAAGAGAGAATGGGCTAGGCCCTTTGTTTTATGTCCAAAATGAATACAAGGCCTTCAAATTCGTCCAACACTTTGGCTCCAATCATATGCTATCCATTCCAAGCCCAATTTTGCTCCAAAATGCTCCAAAATGCATCTTTTTGCTTCCTTAGCCATATGAACCTAAAAACACACGAAAATGGCTTAAACTACTAAAACAACTATGAATTAACAACATAGATGCACGAAAACAAGCTAAGTAAGTCGCCTAAATATGCTCCTATCAGTATTATCCTTGGAATTGTGTTGTCTCTAACACAATCTTGTGTTATTTGTGGTAAATCGTAATCAGATATAGACTTACTATGTTGCACTAATAGTCCGTTCAAGTCTTGCAAAAGCTTGTTCAAGATAGAAGTATTATTTGTGGTACTTGAAGCAGAATAATCTTCCACCATAAATGAATGAGATTCATCCCATAATCTTCTTACTCCATGTGGCTCACAATAAACTAAGATGGTAACAAACAACCTTCGCAAAGCTGACGGCATGCGAATGTTAGTGGCTTCACAGAGACATTGTCTGATGCTATCATCATCTTCTAGCAAACCTCGTTGTTCCACTGCTTTCTTAAATGTTGGTTGTACAATGTCATTGACTATTCTTAAATTCTCAAATGATGTTGGTCCTCTAACATGATTAAGAAGGATGCGTAAGTAGAATTTTTCACCCTCATTCGGCGAGACTGCATATATCCGGCCAATAACTTTATGGTTATTCATCCTCTCACTCCAGAGTTTATCTTTTTGACTCCATTTGAACCGTTCAGGGAATTCCCTGTATAAGTATTGTCGTGCTTCCGGGCAAGTGGTATTCTTGGTAAAAAACTCTGTCAGCATAGTCATCGAGTTAGTGTCATCTGCCAAAATATCTGCTACTCTTTGGTGAGGGTAAAAATGAATAGTTTGTCCTTCAGGAAGATGAATTTGTAATCGTTCCACCGATGGATAAAGTCGATTAGTTACAAATTTGAATATTCTCCATAAAGCTTCAGGTGCACAAACCCATCTTGCATCAACAAACTGCTTTATTTCATCTTGAATAGGTTCATGATGGACTTCAAAAGCTCTACTCGGTCGGGACCTTTGTAAACATATTTGTACAGATACTTGACACTTAATGCTGCAACAAATCTCAACATTAATATGACAATCATATCTGAGGAGTAGCCATGAGTTATACGGAATGACCCACCGATTATCCACCATTATACGTGCATTATGATCTAATGGGATTGGATCATGATTATCTCTTCTACGATAGACTGGATAAGAATCATTTCCTTGAACTGTAGTTAGTGCAAATGGCTTAGGATAATTTCGTTTACAGCTACCACGTTTCATACAGGGTGACCGTGAATTGTGTATTCCACATGGACCATGTATCATATGCCTTAAGACGGCACCATACAATTCAGGCTCTTCATTTGGATTTGGTATTTCAGCCCGTACCACCTGATCATAATCATCTGGACTATTAAGCTTATCATTTTCTTCTAACATGAGAAGCATGTGAACATGGGGGAGACCGCGCTTTTGAAACTCAATGACATATACATATGCAAGAACTTTGCCTAAAACACCTTTTTTTTATAACATCATTCTTCAACTCTTCAAATTTTGCACGAAAAACCCTTGTAAGCAAATCTGGTCGATCTTGTGGTGTTTGGCCAGGTAGTAGCTCATCACTTATTTCTTCCCAAGTTGGATTACATGTCATTGTTAGGAAAATATCTGGTCTTCCATATTTTTGAACCAAAGTCATTGCATCTTGATACCTTTGATACATGTCTCGGGGACTACCAACAAAAGATGATGGTAATATAGTCCTACGACGACCGACGTCTCCTGTATTTGTTTTGTTATAGGTCGTTAATAAGTCTAAATATGTTTGTTTTGTTTCAACCTATTAATAAGTCTCATTTAATATGACAGAACATGAACTTAAAGAATATATGTTTTATTATAAACTGATTAGCTTCATACCTGCATTATTTTGTCCTGCAATTAATGAGTCTTGCAGTCCTCGATAAAATTCAGATTGAATTGTGTGTTGATTATTACGCATCCATCTAAGCTTTTGTGATTCGATCTTGACGTAGTTATCAACTACATATTGTTGCAATAGGCGGCCACCACGAAGTAGAAGCGATTCGTCGTGTTGACGGATCTAAAATGATAAAATTCATTGTTCAACACAATATAAGTTTTAAAAATTAATATTGTATTCATAGAGATGAAGGTCTTAGGTTACCTGAAGAAGATACGAATAATAGTCACAACATGTCACTTTTCTGCTGTTGTTATTTCGAGTATTCACATCCCATCCATATGTTCCATAAGGTAACAACAATGGATATTGTAAAGGGTCATAGTAGCCGACACAGTCTTTGATACTCTTAAGTTGACCATCTGTAGTTTGCGCAACAATATCTCGACCTCTAATGTTTTCTGATCCTTCACCACCTACTATGATTGCAGCAACCTGAGATGCAGACGGTAAACAATATTGTCGTTGATTCGCGGGCTGCTCTTTGATAATCAATCTACAACTTTGCAAATCTTGACGTTGCGCAAGGTGGTGAAATGTTTGCACAAATGGATTATATTGATTCAAGATTTGTTGGATTTTTTCAACCACATCTCTGTTTAATGCTTCACTTTCTCTCATTCGATTGTCTATTTCATGAGCTGTGTCATATATATACATTTGTAGGAATCTCGGTCTACTATTTCTAATAGGCAAAAGACTTCCAATCTTATGATATATGGAACCTTGAGCACGAAATGTGTAAATACCACGTCTTCCTGTTGCTAGGTTTTCGTCAACATGAACTCCCATTGAAGTGAAGGCAAAAATGTGGTTGTAAGCTCGTATATTCTGCCTAAAATGTCTTCCCTCGGCAGATTGGTTGCAAAAAAGCTCAGTCATTTCAGGAGGGGACGGTGCCAATGGTAGAGCAAGCTTTCCACGTAAGCAACACATTTCAGATGTTTCATGAGAGAACAAACGGGCATGACAATCTGGACATGTGGTTGGATTTGGCATGTGAAATCTTGGGATTTCCATGTTTTCATT